TATGACCAACAGGCCCGGCAACGTGAGTTTCAGCCCGGACAAAAGGTGCTGTTACTTCTCCCTTCTTCCAACAGTAAACTGCTGGCGAAATGGCAAGGGCCCTATATCGTGCTTCGCCGAATGGGACCAGTGACGTATGAGATCCATCATCCGGGAAAAAGAAACCGAAACAAACCTACCATGTGAACCTCCTGAAGGAATGGGTGGAGCAGCCCCGTCCGGCTCCGAGGGAGGCACTGATGGCCAGGGTGGTGCACGGAGGAGGACAGAGTGAACCTGAGCAGGCTACGGATCCAAGGTCTCCGGTATTGACTCATCTGACCTCACAGCAGGCTGCGGAGCTACTGAAAATTCTGCAGGAGACGCCTTCGCTGTGTTCCGTTAACCCAGGTCGGACTACCTTGGTTGAACACGTGATCCGGCTAAAAGAGGGACAGCCCATCCGGCAACGGCCCTATCGGGTTCCGCAACACTTGGTGGAGAAGCTGCGACAGGAGGTGGAGAAGATGCTGGAGCTTGGAGTGATCGAGCCGTCCTGCTCCGAATGGTGCAGCCCGGTGGTCATTATCTTCAAAAAGGATGGCTCTTTACGCATCTGCATCGACTTTCGAAAGCTAAATGCCATCTCCGAGTTTGATGCGTACCCCATGCCGCGAATTGAGGATTTACTGGAGAAGATTGGGGCTGCCCAGTATATCACCACTTTGGACTTGTGCAAAGGCTACTGGCAGGTGCCACTGGAGGAGACGTCGAGGCCGTACACTGCTTTCAGGACCCCTGCCGGGCTCTTCCAGTTTACCGTGATGCCCTTTGGCCTACATGGGGCACCGGCTACCTTCCAAAGGCTGATGGACAAGTTGTTACAGGGCTGTGACGGTTATAGCGCCGCCTACCTGGATGATGTCGTCATCTTCAGCCACACGTGGGAGGAGCATATGCAGCATTTGTCGGAGGTCTTGGGAAGAATTCATAAGGCCGGGCTGACTCTGAACCCCTCGAAGTGTGAATGGGCGCGGCAGGAGACTCGCTACTTGGGCTACCAGGTGGGACGAGGAGAGGTGCGACCGCAGCTGGATAAGGTGGAAGCTATCCAGAATTGTCCTCGGCCTCGCACGTAGAAGGAGGTGCGGGCTTTCCTGGGACTGGTTGGTTGGTACCGAAGGTTTGTGCCCCAGTTTGCAACAATGGCGGCGCCGCTGACGACATTACTGGGGAAGAACCAACGAAATCCGGTCATATGGACCGCAGCATGTGAACAGGCGTTCCAGGGACTGAAAACTTGCCTGTGTTCGACCCCCGTGCTCTGGAGTCCGGACTTTAAGAAGCAGTTTTTGGTCCAGGTGGATGCCTCCAAGAGCGGCCTGGGAGCCGTGTTGGTTCAAGGGGACCCGGGCGAGGAGCACCCGATCCTATATCTGAGCCGCAAGCTGCTGCCGCGGGAGACCAATTACTCGACGGTGGAGAAGGAGGCTCTGGCGATTAAGTGGGCGCTGGAGAAACTCCGGTATTACTTACTGGGAAGAGAGTTTGTGTTGGAGACTGATCATCGGGCGCTTACCTGGATCCAGTCCATGAAGGATCATAATAGCCGACTTACACGCTGGTACCTCTCACTGCAACCTTTCAGGTTCGCCATCCGGCACAGACCAGGTACACTCAATGTGGTGGCGGATTACCTCTCTAGGTTGCCGCACATCGCCAACCTCCGGGGGGAAGGGGATGATGTGACGGAGTGACCCGTCTCAAGGCAGAGTCCGCTGAGTATGGCACCGCCACCATTAGATCGCCACCATTAGTTCGATTTGGCAACCGGGGCGGCGTATCTTTCTGACGACCGAGTAGAGGAATAAAAGGGGTGAGGAGCAAGTTGTGAGCCGCATCGGGGGTGGCTAGATTTTGGTTCCCACTTACTTGTTAAGGGCGTCGGTCGGGGAGACGTGCGGGGGGATCGCCAATCGTGCAGGGTGACGCAAGCCGATGGTATGGGGGTGTGGGGTTTAAATAATGAGTTCACGTGTGTCTGGACCGTCATGAGAATGGCCTCATTACGTGGGCCGTTAATGTGTATATGAAGTCGGGTAGACTTCCGGGAAATAGTTGAGAGACTGTATCAATGTATATGTTTTGTGAGTGTATAATGAAAAAGAAATTCTGGGGGAGGGAGACGGGGATTAAAGTTAGAATAAAGAATTGGTGGTGACGCCAAGGGGAGGGGTTACGGGATATAAGAGACGGCGAGCCGGATATGAAGGGGAGTGTGTTGTAACATACAGGCTGTGTAGCACGGATCTCAGTTTTATGTCTTTGCAACCATCTTTTTATGCACTGGGGAGGCCGTTTCAAATAAAGTATCCACACTAATACCTTACCGACTACGCCTGTGTTTGTCCGGAGAGGTCTGGAAGGGGACCCCGTGACAACTATATTGAGGGCCTTGTATAATAGCCCAACTGCAAAAGTAAAGATTAACGGTGAACTTTCAGATGCTTTCAAGCTTGAAAGGTCCACAAGACAAGGATGCCCACTGAGTCCACTCTTATTTGCTATTTTTATAGAGCCATTGGCTGAAAGGATTAGGCAGAATGGTAACATAAAAGGGATTAATATCACTGGAAGTGAGCAGAAATTGGCCTTGTTTGCAGATGACATTTTGGTTTACTTATCAAAACCTACCGAATCACTTATGGAGCTCATGTCAGTGTTAAAGGAGTATGGGCTATACTCGGGATATAAATTGAATATACAAAAAACACAAGTTCTTAGTAGCTTTTATAGCCCTCCCCAGAATCTGCTCAACAAATACAAACTAAGCTGGGACAAAAGAACTATCAAATATCTGGGCATAAACTTATCAATGGATATAACTAGCTTGGAAGAAATCAACTACCCCCTACTTAAAAAGATATCATGCTAAATATTAGCAGATGGTCTATCTAAGCATTTCTTCTAGAGTGGACATCATAAAAATGAATATGCTCCCAAAGATATTAAACTTATTCCAGTCTGTTTCTATAGAAAACCCTGATAGATACTTTGTAGAGTGGGATAGGACCCTCTCAAGATTTATATGGGCGGGTAAAAAGCCAAGAGTTAAATTCAAAACACTTCAGCTTCCCAAAGATAAAGGAGGATTAGGCATCCCTTGCCTACAGGATTACTACAGGGCAACACAAATAAGAAATCTGGTGGGCTGGTGTAAACCCGGATACTGTTCAACAGAGAGACGAATCTGGCATTAATATTTGACATCACAACAGAGACACGAATCTGGCATTAACATCTGACATCACAACAGAGAGACGAATTTGGCATTGACATCTGACATCACAACAGAGAGACGAATTTGGCATTGACATTTGACATCACAACAGAGAGACGAATCTGGCATTAATATTTGACATCACAACAGAGAGACGAATCTGGCATTGATATCTGACATCACAGCAGAGAGACGAATTTGGCATTGATATTTGACATCACAACAGAGAGACGAATCTGGCATTAATATTTGACATCACAACAGAGAGACGAATTTGGCATTGATATTTGACATCACAACAGAGAGACGAATTTGGCATTGATATCTGACATCACAACAAAGACACGAATCTGGCATTAATATTTGACATCACAACAGAGACACGAATCTGGCATTGACATTTGACATCACAACAGAGAGACGAATTTGGCATTGATATTTGACATCACAACAGAGAGACGAATCTGGCATTAATATCTGACATCACAACAGAGAGACGAATCTGGCATTGATATTTGACATCACAACAGAGAGACGAATCTGGCATTGATATCTGACATCACAACAGAGAGACGAATCTGGCATTAATATTTGACATCACAACAGAGAGACGAATCTGGCATTGATATCGGCATTGATATCTGACATCACAACAGAGAGACGAATCTGGCATTAATATTTGACATCACAACAGAGACACGAATCTGGCATTAATATCTGACATCACAACAGAGAGACGAATCTGGCATTGATATCTGACATCACAACAGAGACACGAATCTGGCAATGATATTTGACATCACAACAGAGAGATGAATCTGGCATTGATATCTGACATCACAACAGAGAGACGAATCTGGCATTGATATCTGACATCACAACAGAGAGACGAATCTGGCAATGATATTTGACATCACAACAGAGAGATGAATCTGGCATTGACATTTGACATCACAACAGAGAGACTGGATGTCAATGTCAGAAAGATGACTGTGATGTCAGAACCCTCTAAATCTTGTAATTTATAGATGGTAAATGGCCTGTATTTGCATAGCGCTTTACTAGTCCCTAAGGACCCCAAAGCACTTTACACATCCAGTCATCCACCCATTCACACACTGGTGATGGCAGCTACATTGTAGCCACAGCCACCCTGGGGCGCACTGACAGAGATATTTAATTCCAAATGATTTGACTGCATCATTGCGTCTTTGAGTTATGACCCAAACTCTCTATCAACTTTGTGAATAAATTCACGTCCCCCTGTGACCTCATAATTACACCACAGTTCAGATGGCATGAATGAGTCATGAGGTCACACCAACAGTGACAACATCAGCAGTGACATCACTAAAGTTGCCAGGTGAGTCCATAAATAGAACCCGTGACGTGGAGCAGGTACCGCCGTTTTGGACAATGCCACGACGCAGGTATAGACGCAGACATGCGAGGTCTTCTCGCCCCGTTCGCAGACACAAGAGACCCCACAAGGCCTCGGGTGTCCGCAGACGTGGGAGAAGATACCGTCGCAGACATTAGACAATCTCAATAAACATGTAGGATGAACATCAAAACTTTGGTCCAATCAAGTTTTTTTAGATAACATATGTTGTTGTTGTTTTGTGTGTGTTTGTTATCAATGTTGTGGAAAAAAGTTAAGCTTAGTAAGCCATCAAGCACTGATCACTCGTAGAAGAGCACCAATAGGAGACAGAACTAATTAGTGTGAATGCTTGAAAAGGTGTTATTATTCAGTCTGTACATCGAATAGAAGGCACTAACCACAAGGTGATCTTCAATTCATCTCTGTGTGAATGTGAACGGGGCGAGAAGACCCCCACTAACTGCATGTCCCTAGACTGTGGGAGGAAGCTCGAGAGAACATCCAGACTCCACACAAAGACCCCGGCCTGATGAGGCTAGGGTCCTGAGTTCGATACCCTAAACTGAACGCAGGACAGAGGAAGGGATGGGTGATGTTCATGTGCGCCCAGGTGTATGATGTGGCTCTTTGTCTGTGACTGGTTGGCTGTCCCAGCCCTGGCCCTTCATGTATTTCAGTAATGTCCTTTTCTCCCGTCTCGTTTACATGTTTTTCCCTTGTGACCCATTCCTTCTGTCACGTGTGTTTCCCCCCCAGCCATCATGTTCTGCTTGTGCTTAGTTATGTCCATGTCTTATCTCCTGTCCCCTTTTCCCTCTGTATGTATTCACAGTGTACATGTTCCTCGTCGGCTCGTCATGCTAAGTCTGCGTGTCTTATTCCGTCATGTGTCATGTATCACTCCAAATCTCACTGACTTTAACTAATAATAACTGTTTGCTGAGTGTTATGTCTAAAAGGTATTGCACAATCGCCTCTAGTAGAGGATCACGTTTGTTTTCCACTGATAATGGATTTTAACATGACTGACCAATGATTGTGGAGCACGTCAATGTAGGATCTTATAAATACAACGAGCAAACTTAAATGTTTTAAAATGTTCAAATATTAATATATTATATTTCTGAAGTATGACGGAAGGAAAAAGTTACATTTTTTTCATATTTTAAAAAAAAATCCATGGGTTTAATGGGTCCATCATCACTATATTGAGGGCCTTGTATAATAGCCCAACTGCAAAAGTAAAGATTAACGGTGAACTTTCAGATGCTTTCAAGCTTGAAAGGTCCACAAGACAAGGATGCCCACTGAGTCCACTCTTATTTGCTATTTTTATAGAGCCATTGGCTGAAAGGATTAGGCAGAATGGTAACATAAAAGGGATCAATATCACTGGAAGTGAGCAGAAATTGGCCTTGTTTGCAGATGACATTTTGGTTTACTTATCAAAACCTACCGAATCACTTATGGAGCTCATGTCAGTGTTAAAGGAGTATGGGCTATACTCGGGATATAAATTGAATATACAAAAAACACAAGTTCTTAGTAGCTTTTATAGCCCTCCCCAGAATCTGCTCAACAAATACAAACTAAGCTGGGACAAAAGAACTATCAAATATCTGGGCATAAACTTATCAATGGATATAACTAGCTTGGAAGAAATCAACTACCCCCTACTTAAAAAAGATATCATGCTAGATATTAGCAGATGGTCATTAATCCCCTATCTAAGCATTTCTTCTAGAGTGGACATCATAAAAATGAATATGCTCCCAAAAATATTAAACTTATTCCAGTCTGTTTCTATAGAAAACCCTGATAGATACTTTGTAGAGTGGGATAGGACCCTCTCAAGATTTATATGGGCGGGTAAAAAGCCAAGATTTAAGTTCAAAACACTTCAGCTTCCCAAAGATAAAGGAGGATTAGGCATCCCTTGCCTACAGGATTATTACAGGGCAACACAAATAAGAAATCTGGTGGGATGGTGTAAACCCGGATACTGTTCAACAGAGACACGAATCTGGCATTGATATTTGACATCACAACAGAGAGACGAATCTGGCATTGATATCTGACATCACAACAGAGAGATGAATCTGGCATTGATATTTGACATCACAACAGAGAGACGAATCTGGCATTGATATTTGACATCACAACAGAGAGACGAATCTGGCATTGATATTTGACATCACAACAGAGAGACGAATCTGGCATTGATATTTGACATCACAACAGAGAGACGAATCTGGCATTGATATTTGACATCACAACAGAGAGACGAATCTGGCATTGATATTTGACATCACAACAGAGAGATGAATCTGGCATTGATACTTGACATCACAACAGAGAGACGAATCTGGCATTGATATTTGACATCACAACAGAGAGATGAATCTGGCATTGATATTTGACATCACAACAGAGAGACTGGATGTCAATGTCAGAAAGATGACTGTGATGTCAGAACCCTCTAAATCTTGTAATTTACAGATGGTAAATGGCCTGTATTTGCATAGCGCTTTACTAGTCCCTAAGGACCCCAAAGCACTTTACACATCCAGTCATCCACCCATTCACACACTGGTGATGGCAGCTACATTGTAGCCACAGCCACCCTGGGGCGCACTGACAGAGATATTTAATTCCAAATGATTTGACTGCATCATTGCGTCTTTGAGTTATGACCCAAACTCTCTATCAACTTTGTGAATAAATTCACGTCCCCCTGTGACCTCATAATTACACCACAGTTCAGATGGCATGAATGAGTCATGAGGTCACACCAACAGTGACAACATCAGCAGTGACATCACTAAAGTTGCCAGGTGAGTCCATAAATAGAACCCGTGACGTGGAGCAGGTACCGCCGTTTTGGACAATGCCACGACGCAGGTATAGACGCAAACATGCGAGGTCTTCTCGCCCCGTTCGCAGACACAAGAGACCCCACAAGGCCTCGGGTGTCCGCAGACGTGGGAGAAGATACCGTCGCAGACATTAGACAATCTCAATAAACATGTAGGATGAACATCAAAACTTTGGTCCAATCAAGTTTTTTTTAGATAACATATGTTGTTGTTGTTCTGTGTGTGTTTGTTATCAATGTTGTGGAAAAAAGTTAAGCTTAGTAAGCCATCAAGCACTGATCACTCGTAGAAGAGCACCAATAGGAGACAGAACTAATTAGGTGTTATTATTTCCCCCCCAGCCATCATGTTCTGCTTGTGCTTAGTTATGTCCATGTCTTATCTCCTGTCCCCTTTTGCCTCTGTATGTATTCACAGTGTATATGTTCCTCGTCAGCTCGTCATGCTAAGTCTGCGTGTCTTATTCCGTCATGTATCACTTCAAATCTCACTGACTTTAATAACTTTGCTGAATGTTATGTCTAATTACTTTGTCTTATTACTTTGCATTGATTTAATTACTTCGACAATTTCACTAATGGTTATCTCTCTATCAATTTCTGTTCTGTCATTTACCGATATTTGTGGAATCGGTAATCTATCAAGCGTTTCAGCAATCTTTTTTTCATTAACCGGATCTGAGGTATAAAGATTGGAATAGAACATTTTAAACTGGTCATTAATGGTTTTCGGATCAGACGTCTTTTCTCCAGAGGTTTTACAGATTTCAGAAATCGTGTTAGCTGATATGGATTGCTTAATTTGATGTGCCAAAAGTTTTCCGGCTCTTTCCCCATGTTCATAGAACTTTTGACTTGAAAAATAAACATTCTGTTTGCTGAATGGACCGAATTTTTTATTCTGAATTTAGTAATAATTTTCTCTTATATAGGTCTATTGTTGGTGTCAGGGACAAAGCAGTAAAGCATAAAGGACACAGGTGGTTTTAATTCAAAAAATGGGTCTTATTGACCCAAAAATATGAAAATATATTTAACAAAGCCAAAACTTAAACAGGCAGACCAATAAAAGAGGTCAACTCAATAGACTAAACTCAAGATAATAATTAACAAAACCTCAAACAAACATATGGTAAACTGACCTGCTGAAATGACACACAGGGGGACTTAAATACTGGTTTAGCTAAACCAAATGACACACACGGGGGAAAACAAGATGGCTGCCATATAACCAACTAATACAAAACATTTAAACAAACATGAAACACCCCCCAGGCAATGAAGCATGTGGTGCATTCCAATTAGGCTGTCAGCAGTACTTCAGGTCTCCCAGCCCTTTGCCACACCTTTTGCCAGACAGGAGGAGACACCAACCCCCAGGTAACTCAAACAAAGATGTATTAATATAACATAAAACAGAACTTTGACCTTGCAAGGTTAATATGTGTGCACTCCATATAAACATTGGAAGGTGTGATGGAAAAATGAATACATTTAAGAAATGATATTGAACAATAAATAGAATATTTTAAAGTAGTGACTGTAAATTAAACTAAAGTGAATCAACGGGTGATGAGGTGTGGAGCTTACCATGTGTGGCATGCCATCACACACCTCCCCTCTTCAGAGCTCTCGCTGGAACAGCGAGAGAGATAGTCAGCAGTAAGGTTCTCCTTGCCTGGTACGTGGTGGACAGTGAATCGGAATGGCCGTAAGGCCAGGTACCAGTGGGTAATTCGCCCATTTGTGTCCTTCATCTGCTCAAGCCACTGTAGTGCTTTGTGATCAGTTTCCAAGGTGAAGTCTCTTCCCAGTAGATAGTAGCGGAAGGAGTCCAGGGCCCACTTGATCGCTAAGGTCTCCTTCTCTACTGTGGAATACCGAACTTCCCGTGGAAACAGTTTCCGGCTGATGTAAGCCACTGGATGGCGGCCTTCCATGGTTTCCTGAAGGAGGACAGCTCCCAGGCCCCGATCTGAAGCATCAGTCTGTAATATGAATGGTTCATCAAAGTTGGGACTGTACAAAACCGGTTGCTTACTTAGTGACTGTTGTATGTCATGAAACGCTGCCACTGCCTCCTCTGTCCACTGGATGTAATTGGGGGAACGTGATCCCGTCAGGTCTGTGAGCAGAGCTGCCCTGTTGGAGAACTGAGGGATGAAACGACGGTAGAAACCTGCCATGCCCAAAAAGGATCTCAGCTTCTTCCTTGTTTGGGGCAGGGGGGATGATTCCATGGCCTCGATTTTGCTGACTTGTGGCCTGATAACCCCCTTGCCGATGACATGGCCCAGGTATTCTGTCTCAGCAGCGGCGAAAACACACTTTGACGGATTCACCGTCAACCCAGCTGAGTGCAGGTGGTCCAGAACAGTTCGCAGGTGTTCCACATGCTCCTCCCAGGTGTTGCTGTGGATAACAATATCATCCAAGTAAGCAGCAGCAAAGTCAGAGCAATCATGTAATACCTGATCCATCAGCCGTTGGAAAGTTGCTGGAGCTCCATGTAGTCCAAATGGCAAGACTGTAAATTGGAAAAGCCCCCATGGTGTTCTGAATGCTGTGAACTCTCTGGACCGTTGAGTGAGTGGGACCTGCCAGTAACCCTTACACAGATCCATTGTGGTCAGGTACCTTGCTTTTCCCAGACGTTCAAGTAGATCATCAATTCTT